AAATGTTCAACTGGTCCGAACCACTGAGCGATAAGGTTTTCGCAATTGATGGCCCACATGAGGTTGTGAGGGTTGGCTGGGGTGCTCACGTTTCTCAGCCAGGTTCCTAACGATCACTTATTATTAGAGAAATGCGCTAGTTTGATATTTTGGACGAGTTCCCCTACTCGGAACACGATTTGCTTGACATGTTTTGACACGTCTGTGGCAGAACGATCGCGCTAAACAACGAACCACGAAGTCAAGAGAATAACTGAAAGATTCAAAGGAAGTTTGGCGCGATATTGCCGTGGAGAGGTAATGATGACCGTTTACCATGTGGGATAACTCGTACGGATCATTGTTGTAAGGCTTCGTAATTGTCAGCCCACATATAGCCGTGAATACCGTCTTCGGTGCTTGTGGTTGTTTTTCCCCCTGTGATCACTCAGTGAAGTGCATTAGTTCAAAAATTCGGACGAGTTGCCCTAGCTGCGATATGGTTTGCCTGACATGTTTTGACATGTGCGTGGCAAAGTGAACGCGTCAAACGACATGCACTCAGAATGATTGACGATTATTCTTACTCGTTTAATTTTCGTCCAAAGCCCAGATTTGACACGTTCGAACAGGAATGCGGTTAGAACTCCTAATGGCTCAGTTCTCTTCCACGGAGCCTTGTATCGTAGGCATAACAAAGGGATCTCACCCAGCGATTCCCATCACTGTATGTTCTGACCCGGGATACCAGCTTTTTTTCTGTTGGGACTTACATGTTGCTGATTACAGCTAGGTTTTTTTGGATGTTCGGATGTTTCGGATGTTTTTCTATGGATTTTCAGACATCGAGTCCTCATTCGCACCCTTGTGAAGGCCTTCGGTAAACTCAGAAGAACATTCGAGTAGCCTGACTTTCACTTGTATTATGTTGTCCCAAAAGTTCGCGACATTTTTTTAGTCTCGTATCAAATCTTTCCGCAGCTATTTCGAGATCCAGTCATGTGGTCTATGGGAAGTGTGTTAAGTGAGCATCCCACAGTTGCTTTACCGTCCCTCGCAGTCGCTGTTCTCATATCCAAAACGGTAGATGAAATCCATTTCGCTATACGAATCTCCACCAGGTCCAACGTGGTTGGAGCCCCACGCGAGATAGGTTCTGATGCTACCTTCCATAGTACGGCTTGAAATGGCGCAATCGATTTCGCTCAAAGGCATATAACACGATAAATTGGTAGTCTGTCTAAAATGCTAGCAGTGTGCTGTTCCGCGGAGAAAGAAGCGGAAAAATGAAAGTGAAACGGTCAAAAACCTGCAAAGCCTTGTTCCTTATGACTCAAAAAGCAATTTCGGACGAGTTTCCCGTAGGCATCTTGCCAATAACCGCTACGGTAGGTACGGCTGCATGTATGTACTCATATATCCATGCAGCACCGCAGCCGCTTCATATCAATCCCTTCGCTTCATATTTTACTTCGCAAATGAAGCAATACGAGCATCAGGTACGGTCGTCCATTTGTGGGCGGCGGGCGCAGTGGGCGTCCACATCGGTATGTTGCAGCTTGATAGGGCTTCATGAGGCCACGTTCTTTGGGAAAGGCGCTACTCGCTGCCTGCTCAGGAGCTCGGCATTCCGTTCTGCCAGGCGTATGAGCCGTACTCGTCTTAGGGACTTATTGTGCCAACTGCCTTCAAGGCAGCATTTGCTCTACATAGTTGGTGAACAATGGATCACACTACAATAATGCATTAATATGTTCATTCTTCAGTTCAGTCTATACTAGCGATTGAGCCTAGATCCTTCTAAGCAAGTGAAGGAAGATCAGAAAGAGCTCATTGGAAGATTTGGACTGATTATTTACAGCTAATTGAATCCAACAGGTAGCACTTATGGCTCACTGATGAAAAGTGATAATAGTAATGTGAACAAGCGACCCTCTCTCTATAGAAGTCACTGGCTTACGCATCACAAGGTCCAGGTAAACATAGAGAACATTTGGATAGAAACAGATTGCCTATTCCAGAAAAGTATGCCGAGCCAGGCATGACTCGGCGAGATCACTGCGAATGACCAATCCGCTCCATCTTTAGGTGTCTCCCTTGATGTTGGGGTGATTCTCGAGGTACTGTTGGAAGCACTGACGAATCTTGTCGAACTGACTCAGGCACACAATGTACTTCAAGTAATCAGTTGGAACTCCATGGGTCGTCTCGCAGTACACAAGGCATTGATCAAGTACCTAAATGATGGCAGTAATAATTGTCCAGGTCCAAAAGCAAGAAAAAGCAGTTGCCACCTGAGGAGGCGTTCCCGCATACATACGTTTTGGCGCTGAGCCAACTCCAGCCAGCCACGTTTCCACTGTAGGGCGGGCAGCCTTGGCAGAAAATAGGGCTGCGCCGCGCCAAAACCTGTGTGCATAGGGACGCCTCCACTTGACGTTCCGACAAGCACTGTACCCTCAGATGACAGATGGGGAAACTCACGTTCTGCCTGCGACAGCATGCTGTGTGATCCGCCCTTGACGATGCGCAGTCCCACATCTGACCAACCGTTGGGCCCTTCGGAGCACACTGAGCCATGAATCCGATTACCTGCAAGTGGATAGTGATCACAACATTCTTTAGGTTTCGATGTAGTTGAAAACATTCGGATTTGGAGGTGTAGTTCGGCGAGCGGAAAGGGGGGAGGGGCATTCTGCATTTTTGCTACTTCCAATCGACGTAACGACCCTTCTAAACACTGTCTTCTCGAGTTGACAGGTTTCACGAAAGTGAGACCTGTAAACCGGAACTAGTGAAGCAGCGAAAGGACAAAATGTCCGTCTCGTTGCCGAACTGCGCCGGGTTTGGATTTGGGTGACATGGAACAGCCAAACGGGCGAAAACGACGCGCGCCGACTCCTGCGGGATCTGATACTCCTTATATTCTTCAGAGACACAGTCACACCACGATGAGTACTCTCCACCCCTAGGGTAGATCTCCACCCTCATTTTACCATCGCTATGGAACGATAGGATTCCTTGCAATTTCTTGTCTGTTTCTCTCTAGAACATTCAGAATCTCTGCCTTATGCTCGCATAATGCAGGGGTCTTATCTGAAGCATTTGCGACGGGTTTTTCTTGCTTTAACTTTCAATGCTGAAATACTTCGCCCCATCCATATTCGCATTTGTACCCAATCTACGTTGTGATGTCGCTGAGCATTCGTTTCCAGTTGGTTTCCAGTTCCCACTATCTGTGAAGTTCATGAGGTTCCGACTCATTGATAAGCATCACTGTTTGCATATAAAGCCCGAACCTGCGATGCTCTTCATGAGCAGTGGGGTTCAAATACATATGTCGAGGTGCTATGTTGCTCAGTAGTAAGCAAGAAAGTGCTACTGAGAGTGAAACCCAAGGTGCCGTCGAAAGCCCTCTAATCAAGACGCTCGTTGCTTCCAACAAGGGTCAATCAGGTCATGGATGTCATTTTCAAAATGGTTTGTTGTAAGCTGTAGAGGTTCATGAGGTGATTAAAAAAAGTGTAGTTTGGCTTTCGCTCGAGCTGAGGTCTCTCAGCAAAATCAGACAAAAAGTCGACAACTGGCTGATGGTTTGAATCGTCTAGGTGACAGATGTTGTTTTTGGTGTTTTTTTTTCGGTGTTTTTTTTCTTGTGTTCATATAAGCCAAGCATTCTGGAGGCTGTCTCAAGACTCCTTCCTGTGAAAGAACGTACCGACTATTCAGTTCTCCGTAGTGATGTTTCACCCTATTAGTAAGTATTAGATGGATTCAGAAGTCCTAGAATATTTGTGGATGTGAAAGGTTTCCCTCGCTACTTTTTTAAAGCTTTACTCCCGGGCCGCTCGAAGAGCCATTCGAAGAGAAAAGAAAGGTATACAAAATTCATTCTAAACGTTTGCCTGGCCGTAATGATTTGTATCAAATATGCTGCCTAAATTCATGCCCTCTAAACACCATCTCGGTCTCAGGATATCTGTCAACCGCTGGAGTCTTCTTCCTCCTCCTTCCTTTTTCTTTCCTCCTTCTTTCTTTCTTCCTTCCTTCTCTCACCCTTGATAATTATTTCCCTTCCTCTCAATGCTGGAGCAGAAGATGCGATGAGTTAAACACCTATGGACCCTCGCAGCGAGAGAGCATCCGGTTGACAGATATCTCGTAACCGCACCGCACCATCTCAGCACGTCATGTTGTTCCTGTTCATTTCTGGCCTTAATCCTCACGAGTCCCACCTCCGCCTGCAGGATGTTCATAAGGAGAATGCGACACCCTCTTTTCTTGGTTCTTCAACTTCAAGAAAGGCGACTACATATTCTATCGGAGGTGACAAAAGGACAGGACGGCCAGCGACTCCGGATTTGGACGTATTACAGAGCAAATCGAAGCGCACCTATGCCACGCCACTCGAGAGCTGTCCGCCAGGCTCTGTTTTAGCCAACCAGCGGTGGTCCATAGATTGAAGTCAATAGGAAAGGTTCAAAAATTTGGCCGATGGGTACCACATGCATTATCACAGAGGGACATGGATCGGAGGGTCGACATGACACGTTCTCTTTTCACCCTCAAACCCACGCACGCGTGGGTTGGACAAGCCAATCACCGGATTGAAAAGTGGGTACTATACTCCAACATCCGCTGCCGGGTAGACAAAGGAGGACCGGCAGAAACGTCCCGAACCTCAGCTGTATGGGAAGAAAGGAATTGCATCTGATGGGGTGTTCGTGGGGTAGAATACTGGAAGCTACTGTAAGAAGGTGCAACAGTGACTGCTGACATATACGTTGCTCAACTACGGAATCTGAAGGCTCACCTCACGAATACATGGGAAAAGCAAGCCAAAGTGTACTTTCAGCATGACAACGCCAGACCACACATTGCAAGGGCGACGAAGTGTGAACTAGCGACGTATGGCTGGACTGTCCTTCCCCACCCACCATACTCTCCAGACCTTGCACCCTTTGAATACCACCTACAGGGGGGGGGCCAAAAAAAGTCACTTTGCCTCATTGACTTTCGAGGCGCTATAAGTTACACTTTATAAATTCTGATCGGACATTTTACTACCATATTAAAGAGCATATTAAATACTATCATGACACTCCGCCACAGCCTTCTGGACGAGCGCTGAGATCAGCGAGATAGTCGATTTCTCCGCCACCGTAGACCACCCT